AGACCCTTGAACCTCAACTCTGTTTCTCATACCTCTTGAACCCCAGACCCCTCCTCCGCAGTACACCACATATGTGGATCGGATTATTCGGGAGAGGCAGAGCAGCAGCCTGCCACCTCTTCTGATACAGACCCTTGAACCTCAACTCTGTTTCTCATACCTCTTGAACCCCAAACCCCCCTCCGCAGTACACCACATATGTGGATCGGATTATTCGGGAGAGGCAGAGCAGCAGCCTGCCACCTCTTGTGATACAGACCCTTGAACCTCAACTCTGTTTCTCATACCTCTTGAACCCCAAACCCCCCCTCCGCAGTACACCACATATTTGGATCGGATTATTCGGGAGAGGCAGAGCAGCAGCCTGCCACCTCTTCTGATACAGACCCTTGAACCTCAACTCTGTTTCTCATACCTCTTGAACCCCAAACCCCCCTCCGCAGTACACCACATATGTGGATCGGATTATTCGGGAGAGGCAGAGCAGCAGCCTGCCACCTCTTCTGATACAGACCCTTGAACCTCAACTCTGTTTCTCATACCTCTTGAACCCCGAACCCCCCCTCCGCAGTACACCACATATGTGGATCGGATTATTCGGGAGAGGCAGAGCAGCAGCCTGCCACCTCTTCTGATACAGACCCTTGAACCTCAACTCTGTTTCTCATACCTCTTGAACCCCAAACCCCCCTCCGCAGTACACCACATATGTGGATCGCATTATTCGGGAGAGGCAGAGCAGCAGCCTGCCACCTCTTCTGATACAGACCCTTGAACCTCAACTCTGTTTCTCATACCTCTTGAACCCCAAACCCCCCCTCCGCAGTACACCACATATGTGGATCGGATTATTCGGGAGAGGCAGAGCAGCAGCCTGCCACCTCTTCTGATACAGACCCTTGAACCTCAACTCTGTTTCTCATACCTCTTGAACCCCAAACCCCCCCTCCGCAGTACACCACATATGTGGATCGGATTATTCGGGAGAGGCAGAGCAGCAGCCTGCCACCTCTTGTGATACAGACCCTTGAACCTCAACTCTGTTTCTCATACCTCTTGAACCCCAAACCCCCCCTCCGCAGTACACCACATATGTGGATCCGGTTATTCGGGAGAGGCAGAGCAGCAGCCTGCCACCTCGTGATACAGACCCTTGAACCTCAACTCTGTTTCTCATACCTCTTGAACCCCAAACCCCCCCTCCGCAGTACACCACATATGTGGATCGGATTATTCGGGAGAGGCAGAGCAGCAGCCTGCCACCTCTTCTGATACAGACCCTTGAACCTCAACTCTGTTTCTCATACCTCTTGAACCCCAAACCCCCCCTCCGCAGTACACCACATATGTGGATCGGATTATTCGGGAGAGGCAGAGCAGCAGCCTGCCACCTCTTCTGATACAGACCCTTGAACCTCAACTCTGTTTCTCATACCTCTTGAACCCCAAACCCCCCTCCGCAGTACACCACATATGTGGATCGGATTATTCGGGAGAGGCAGAGCAGCAGCCTGCCACCTCTTCTGATACAGACCCTTGAACCTCAACTCTGTTTCTCATACCTCTTGAACCCCAAACCCCCCCTCCGCAGTACACCACATATGTGGATCGCATTATTCGGGAGAGGCAGAGCAGCAGCCTGCCACCTCTTCTGATACAGACCCTTGAACCTCAACTCTGTTTCTCATACCTCTTGAACCCCAAACCCCCCTCCGCAGTACACCACATATGTGGATCGGGTTTTTGGGGAGAGGCAGAGCAGCAGCCTGCCACCTCTTCTGATACAGACCCTTGAACCTCAACTCTGTTTCTCATACCTCTTGAACCCCAAACCCCCCCTCCGCAGTACACCACATATGTGGATCGGATTATTCGGGAGAGGCAGAGCAGCAGCCTGCCACCTCTTCTGATACAGACCCTTGAACCTCAACTCTGTTTCTCATACCTCTTGAACCCCAAACCCCCCCTCCGCAGTACACCACGTATGTGGATCGGATTATTCGGGAGAGGCAGAGCAGCAGCCTGCCACCTCTTCTGATACAGACCCTTGAACCTCAACTCTGTTTCTCATACTCCTTGAACCCCAAACCCCCCCTCCGCAGTACACCACATATGTGGATCGGATTATTCGGGAGAGGCAGAGCAGCAGCCTGCCACCTCTTCTGATACAGACCCTTGAACCTCAACTCTGTTTCTCATACCTCTTGAACCCCAAACCCCCCCTCCGCAGTACACCACATATGTGGATCGGATTATTCGGGAGAGGCAGAGCAGCAGCCTGCCACCTCTTCTGATACAGACCCTTGAACCTCAACTCTGTTTCTCATACCTCTTGAACCCCAAACCCCCCCTCCGCAGTACACCACATATGTGGATCGCATTATTCGGGAGAGGCAGAGCAGCAGCCTGCCACCTCTTCTGATACAGACCCTTGAACCTCAACTCTGTTTCTCATACCTCTTGAACCCCAAACCCCCCCTCCGCAGTACACCACATATGTGGATCGGATTATTCGGGAGAGGCAGAGAAGCACCCTGCCACCTCTTGTGATACAGACCCTTGAACCTCAACTCTGTTTCTCATACCTCTTGAACCCCAAACCCCCCCTCCGCAGTACACCACATATGTGGATCGGGTTATTCGGGAGAGGCAGAGCAGCAGCCTGCCACCTCTTGTGATACAGACCCTTGAACCTCAACTCTGTTTCTCATACCTCTTGAACCCCAAACCCCCCCTCCGCAGTACACCACATATGTGGATCGGATTATTCGGGAGAGGCAGAGCAGCAGCCTGCCACCTCTTCTGATACAGACCCTTGAACCTCAACTCTGTTTCTCATACCTCTTGAACCCCAAACCCCCCCTCCGCAGTACACCACATATGTGGATCGGATTATTCGGGAGAGGCAGAGCAGCAGCCTGCCACCTCTTGTGATACAGACCCTTGAACCTCAACTCTGTTTCTCATACCTCTTGAACCCCAAACCCCCCCTCCGCAGTACACCACATATGTGGATCGGATTATTCGGGAGAGGCAGAGCAGCAGCCTGCCACCTCTTGTGATACAGACCCTTGAACCTCAACTCTGTTTCTCATACCTCTTGAACCCCAAACCCCCCCTCCGCAGTACACCACATATGTGGATCGGGTTATTCGGGAGAGGCAGAGCAGCAGCCTGCCACCTCGTGATACAGACCCTTGAACCTCAACTCTGTTTCTCATACCTCTTGAACCCCAAACCCCCCCTCCGCAGTACACCACATATGTGGATCGGATTATTCGGGAGAGGCAGAGCAGCAGCCTGCCACCTCTTCTGATACAGACCCTTGAACCTCAACTCTGTTTCTCATACCTCTTGAACCCCAAACCCCCCCTCCGCAGTACACCACTTATGTGGATCGGATTATTCGGGAGAGGCAGAGCAGCAGCCTGCCACCTCTTCTGATACAGATCCTTGAACCTCAACTCTGTTTCTCATACCTCTTGAACCCCAAACCCCCCCTCCGCAGTACACCACGTATGTGGATCGGATTATTCGGGAGAGGCAGAGCAGCAGCCTGCCACCTCTTCTGATACAGACCCTTGAACCTCAACTCTGTTTCTCATACCTCTTGAACCCCAAACCCCCCCTCCGCAGTACACCACGTATGTGGATCGGATTATTCGGGAGAGGCAGAGCAGCAGCCTGCCACCTCTTCTGATACAGACCCTTGAACCTCAACTCTGTTTCTCATACCTCTTGAACCCCAAACCCCCCCTCCGCAGTACACCACGTATGTGGATCGGATTATTCGGGAGAGGCAGAGCAGCAGCCTGCCACCTCTTCTGATACAGACCCTTGAACCTCAACTCTGTTTCTCATACCTCTTGAACCCCAAACCCCCCCTCCGCAGTACACCACATATGTGGATCGGATTATTCGGGAGAGGCAGAGCAGCAGCCTGCCACCTCTTGTGATACAGACCCTTGAACCTCAACTCTGTTTCTCATACCTCTTGAACCCCAAACCCCCCCTCCGCAGTACACCACATATGTGGATCGGGTTATTCGGGAGAGGCAGAGCAGCAGCCTGCCACCTCTTGTGATACAGACCCTTGAACCTCAACTCTGTTTCTCATACCTCTTGAACCCCAAACCCCCCCTCCGCAGTACACCACATATGTGGATCGGATTATTCGGGAGAGGCAGAGCAGCAGCCTGCCACCTCTTCTGATACAGACCCTTGAACCTCAACTCTGTTTCTCATACCTCTTGAACCCCAAACCCCCCCTCCGCAGTACACCACATATGTGGATCGGATTATTCGGGAGAGGCAGAGCAGCAGCCTGCCACCTCTTCTGATACAGACCCTTGAACCTCAACTCTGTTTCTCATACCTCTTGAACCCCAAACCCCCCCTCCGCAGTACACCACATATGTGGATCGCATCATTCGGGAGAGGCAGAGAAGCACCCTGCCGCGGCCGCACGCAGCAGGTAATTAGCGTTTTTGCTTTGTGAAAAGGAGTGATTTTTCTGTTTTTGACTTCAGAGTCAAGCCGTGTTTTCTGCCTTTCGAAAGAGGCACAGCCGCACAAGCAAATAAGATGCTGGGGGTAACTGAGCTGTATGTTTTCTTTTGTCGTGAATCCTTCCACGCTGTATCCCGATCCTTTGCACTCTGAAAGCCGGTGTCCCGTGTTCTGATCCCCACTATTTCCTCCATTCCTCTTTATTGTTGTGATGATTTACTCGTGCAGGTGGCAGTCAGTCAAGAGGGCGGGGGCGAGGCGGAGGGGGAGGGAATGTAAAGGGTGGAGGAACAGGAGGAGTAGGACGAGGAGGAGGAAGGGTAGGAAAGGCCGTTGGAAAAGGGAGGGGGGGAGGACGGGGAAAAGGTTCGGGGAAAAGAGACGGAGGTCCGGGATCAGCAGATTCGGATGTGATTGGCCCGGGGCTGAATTACCTGGCCGGGGCATTGGGAGGCGAGAGGGAGGTAAGGGCGCTGGTGGGAGCGTATGAGATGCAGAAGCGGCATCTGGAGTTGACTGCTAGGCGTGCAGAGGCACTTGCTCTTGGTGGTCCTAGGGATGGTGGTGATGGTGGTGGGGGGAGAGGGGCGCTGGGGTATAGGGCGTGGGAGGTTTGCGCGTGGGACGAGGAGGACGAGGAGGATGAGGAGGAGGACAATGGGGGGGACGATGGGGAGGAGGAGGAAGAAGAGGAGGGGTGTGTGGGGCGCATTGAGGGAGGTGGAGGCGAAGGAGAGGGTGGGGGAATGGGAGGTGAAGGAGGAGAGTGGGAGCAGTTGGAGTATGGGGAGGGAGATGAAGGGGAGGATGAGGAGGATGATACTGAGGAGGAAGTGGAGCTGGAAGAGGAGGAAGAGGATTGAGAGGATGGGAAATCAATACGGGGAGAAGGCTAATGTGATACGTGTAGGCCGGATGCATAGTGTAAATAGTGTTGGCAGATGAAGTGTCTGTGTCACAGGTTGTTCCCGTTGCATGGCCTTGCACTAGTCAAGTATCTATTATCCCTGCCCTAATTCCACTTAGCGGTTCTGTTTATGGAAGTGGTTGTTGAAGTTGTAATGATGCTCCAAATCGGTGGCTCTAATCTCACCAACTTCGCCTCTGATCTCGGATACGATTGTGGCGCATGTCAGAGGCAGGTGCCCCTTAGTGCCAAGCCAGCGAGCCGCATGTTTCGTTCGTGCAACAATTTACGTGATTGGCTTCTCTAATGCCGAACCTAACAACATCGGCTTCTCTCAAACCATTTATGATTTCCTGCTTTCCATCTGCCTGAACCTGGGTCACGCTGGGCAGAAGTTGTTGGTTTGGGCGACGACGTCAGGTGCACCTAGGGAATCCCGAGGCCATGTCGCGAAACCTGTGATTCGGTGCGATGGTCACGACACGACGCGAAAATCGCGCTAGGCCATACAACAAGGACGGTGACGACGACAGTGAGCGCGAAGCAACGCAATGTGAGTACACCTAGCCACCGCTATTTTCAACTTCTGACCTTGGCACTGTTCCCGATTTTCATGTAATCCCTGCCCAGCTTTTGGGGTTTTCTGTTAGAAACCTCGTTATAGGGGACTATGAATGACATCAAATGGAGATTTCAATCGGGCGAGTGTAAGACAATTTCGGCTCGTGTGGAGTCTGCTTGTTGTTGCGCATCCCATTGCGTAGCTTTCAGGAGTCAGGAACTAACTCTGCGTAGAGCGTATGACGTCCGACACAACCCTCGGTCAAAAACGTTTTGAAGGGTGCCTACCCCTTTGCACACGTGGGGGTTGAAGATAGACCGAAAGAAAATAGCGGTGGTTAGGTGTATCGTATCGGCACTGTACGGTGTACCTGCTCTGCATTTGTGCCTGTGCTCTACGTTGGTTTGTGTCCAAGTTTCGAGTTTGGGAGGGAGGGAGCAACCAAGCAAGCACATCACATCACAATCACCACTGCTCCTCTTCGCTCCCCCATGATTCCACTCCCCCACCCTTCACCCCAGCTGTAGCTGGTGGACTTCGGCATCCCACACTCGCCTTTCCATCCTCTCCATTCCCAAGGTTCTCAAGAGCCGTCGTTCGTGAATTTTCCGGACGGCTGTCGCAGGATAGAGTGTGACTGGTCGCCTCGGCCTAATCGCCGTTTACTGACTGGGAATGCGCAGCCTGGGATAGTCGTCAAATTTTTTCGACTGTTGCTGGCAGTCGTTCGGGCGTAATCGCTCAAGCCTCTATTATCAAAACGACTAAGAGTCTTTTACTTGCGGCTTTTCTAGAGTAACGGCCTGCCGCCAGACGTCGCATCTAAACGGCGTTGCGCGTGTGAGCTAAGCGCGTGTGGGCTAAACCCGTTTGAGCTAAGCGCGTGTGAAGCAGGCTTGTAGTGGGTGGATCGCAGCACCTCGTTACTACGCGCACCGATATCGTTATAGCACTAGACATCCCGCGTTACGTTCGTCATCCTCGCCTTTGTATCCACTTCACCTCGTCGTTAGCTGTAACCTTCCACTCAATCCGCGAAGCGCCTCAGGATTAGGTCTCGTCGCCTGTTACAGCCACCCAGCCGGCAGCAGCGGTGCCGCAATGTCGACCCCGCACCAGCCGCGGTTCACCTCCTCGCGTCGCCTTGCGCCCCCCAGCTCCGCCATCCCCGATCCTCTGCCGCCCCCCCGATGCCGCTCCCGCGGCCTGCGCAATCTCCCCCGCGGTCTGCGCAGTCTCCCCCTCCCCCTCCCCTTCCCCCTCCTGCTGCTGCTGCTCGTCGCGCTGCTCCCCCACGCGCCCGTCACGGCGGGCCTGCTGCGCCTCAAGTCGCCGCAGCAGCTCACCTACTCCTTCGCCTCCACCGATGCCGACTTCGGTAAGCTCGAAGCCTTATCCGCTTCTAGACCCGATGGTTCAATGAATAGTGCTTTCCGAGTCCTAGAGAATTCTCAAAAGTCAAACCAACGATTCCGCAGCACCTCGGCTACTCCTTCGCCTCCACCGATGCCGACTTCGGTAAGCTTTTTCCCCATCCGCCCCAGAAATCATGATCTTAGGTTAGCTCGCCAGCAGCTACAGCGTATAAAAGTGGCTTCCTTTTTTTTTTTTTTTTTAGACCAGAATGCCTAGGATCGCTCTAAGAGTGCGATCCCGATTCCTCGACACGCCGCAGCATCTTGGCCACTCTTTCCTGTTTTTGAGTCGACTCAAAAATTGGCTCTCCGCCGACTCCAACTTCGGGAAATCACTTTCAAGAATTCTCAAAAACGATGTCGACATACTCTTTTCCCTCCGTTGACGCCGACTTCGGTAAGCTCTTCCCCATCCGCCGCCAGAGCAAGAGAAGGTTGGCTGCTTGGTAGTAATTAATTACCATCTACGGTTTTTGCCAAATCCTTGCTCTCATTCCTCATTGTTTTGAGACGTCTCAAAACACTTTTTTGCCAAATCCTAACTCTCATTCCTCACTCCCGCGTGTGATGAGTCGATTTTTGAGTCGACTCAAAAATCGGTTTCTGCCAAATCCTAACTCTCATTCCTCACTCCCGCGTACCCCTCTCCAGGCCCCGTCATTCCTTTCAGCGGCCTCTGGGGGAGGTTGTATCCGACGGTACCCGCAAACGCATGCCAGCCGATTCAGAACCGCGTGCCGCCCGGCACCGTCCAGTTCGCGCTGATTGCGCGCGGAGACTGCTCGTTCGGGCGGAAGGTGCAGAACGCGCAGTTTGCGGGGTACGCTGCTGCGGTGGTGTACAATAACGAATCCAAACAAGACCTCGCTATAAGTAAGTGCGGTACTCGTTATGGCGCATCAATGATTTTCTGAGTCATTCTTTTGAGTAAACTCAAACATCCCCCTTCGCCCCTCCTTCCGCCCTTTCCCTTTCCTTCAACGCCCCCCCCATCCCCCTCCCCCTCCATCTCCCCCAGTGACGGAGAACCAGCGCATGGACATCATGATTCCCTCTGCCTTCGGCAACCACCGTTCTCTCCGTCATCCTTTTAAGTCCATTCAAAACAAACACCCTCCTTCCCCCTTCTCCCCACCTCCCCTTCCCCTGTCTCCACCGCCCCCGCCCCCCCGCTTCCCCCCTCCCCCGACTCCCCCAGTGACGGAGAACCAGCGCATGGGCATCATGATTCCCTCCGCCTTCATCTCTCTCGAAGACGCAACCACCGTTCTCTCGGTCATCCAGCCCTACCCCGACACCATAACCATCCTCTACCCCTCCCAACCCTACTACACCACCTCCGCCTACTCCTGGTCCTTTATCATCTGGATCTCCTCCCTCCTCGCTATAGGCATAATGCTCCTCGCGTTTCTCTGCGTGTGCCGGTATAGGATTAGGAATGCTGTGGCGGGGGCGGCGGCGGCTGCGGGGGTTAGTCCGGCTTTTCTGCCTATTCAGCTGACCGCCTCGCCGGATAAGATGACTCTGGAGGAGGTTATGGCTCTGCCCGAGAAAACGTTTCTGGGGCTGCCGAGCCTCAAACGGGCAGAGGCTGAAAAGAAGGACAGCAGCAGCAACAAGGGGGATAAAATTGAAGGGGTTGAAAAGGAGAAGGCTGACAGGAAGGAAGGTGCTGAAATGGCAAAAGGAGGTGCAGAGAGTGACTGTAACGAGCTGGGGAGCGGTCAGGAGAAGCTCAAGGGAAAGCATCAGGTGGATGTTGTTATAGTGAGCGAAGGGCGAAGGCCCTCGTGTGACTATATCCAACGGGGGGATGTGGAGCTGAGTCGACAAAGCAGTGTTCGGAGCAGAGTTTCGTTCCGTGATGTGGAGGAGGGAGCGGGGCAGGAGGAGGAGGATGGGGAGGAGGTGATCTACAGAAGCACGTGGGAGACGTGTGCGATCTGCCTGGAGGACTATGAGCGTGGCGACCGGCTGAGAGTGCTGCCGTGCAGTCACGGTAAGTCATGGGGCATTGGTGTTGGACGAATGGAGGCAATACTTATCAGATGCACGTGCGGGACGTGTGCCATATGTTGGGGGAACTACGAGTTCGGGGACTGCCTGAGGGTACGGGTATGCAGTCACAGTATGAGTGGGTCCGCCCGGAGGAGGTGAGAATATTAAGGAGCATGTGGGAGGCGTACTGATTGGGAGGACTGACACAGTCTGAGGGTGCTGATATGCTGCCGTGGTAGTACGTGTGTGTGGGTTAAAACAAGGAGATGGAGGAGAGCACATTTTTTGGAAGAAAAGAGGGGGTTACAGGAACAAGGTTCGCCACAACACCAGTTGAGGGTCCTGATATGCTGCCGTGGTACGTGTGGGTTACTGCAAGGAGACGGAGGAGAGCACATTTGTTGGTAGAAAAGAGGTTCACCACATACCCATATTACAGGAACACAATACCCATATTACAGGAACAAGGAACGAGGTTCACCACAAAACCGGTTGAGGGTCCTGATACGCTGCCGTGGTGGTACGTGTGTGTGGGTTAAGACAAGGAGATGGAGGAGAGCACACTTCTTGGTACAAAAGAGGGGAATTTGGCGCTGAGGTTCACCACATACCCATATTAGAGTCTGCTCCCCTTCTGAGAATTCTCAAAAGTCTCGTGGGTCTAAGAGCGTGGGTCTAAGAGCGTGGTGGGTCTCAGAGCGTGGGTCTAAGAGCGTGGGTCTAAGAGCGTGGGTCTAAGAGCGTGGGTCTAAGAGCGTGGGTCTAAGAGCGTGGGTCTAAGAGCGTGGGTCTAAGAGCGTGGGTCTAAGAGCGTGGGTCTAAGAGCGTGGGTCTAAGAGCGTGGGTCTAAGAGCGTGGGTCTAAGAGCGTGGGTCTAAGGGAGTGGTTCTAAGGGCGTGGGTCTAAGAGCGTGGGTCTAAGGGCGTGGGTCTAAGGGCGTGGGTCTAAGAGCGTGGGTCTAAGGGCGTGGGTCTAAGGGCGTGCGCCTAAGAGCGAGGGTCTAAGGGCGTGGGTTTAACGGCGTGGGTCTAAGGGCGTGGGTCTAAGGGCGTGGGTCTAAGGGCGTGGGTCTAAGGGAGTGGGTCTAAGGGCGTGGGTCTAAGGGAGTGGGTCTAAGGGCGTGGGTCTAAGAGCGTGGGTCTAAGAGCGTGGGTCTAAGAGCGTGGGTCTAAGAGCGTGGGTCTAAGAGCGTGGGTCTAAGAGCGTGGGTCTAAGAGCGTGGGTCTAAGAGCGTGGTGGGTCTCAGAGCGTGGGTCTAAGAGCGTGGGTCTAAGAGCGTGGGTCTAAGAGCGTGGGTCTAAGAGCGTGGGTCTAAGGGCGTGGGTCTAAGGGCGTGGGTCTAAGAGCGTGGGTCTAAGAGCCTTCACTTGCTTGCTCCTGGTCCCACGCCATTTTGCTCTACCAGAGCGCCTCTCCTCTATCTTTTGATTATTTCTTATAGTGATATATATTTTTTTTCTCCCCTTGTTATCTTCCCCTGCAGAGTTCCACACTGAGTGTGTGGACGAGTGGCTTACAACCCGGCAGCCCTTCTGCCCTGTCTGCAAGCGCATCGCTCGAGCCCCAAAGAAAACCCCAGAAGCAGAGGCGACTGCCTTATCTGCCTCCTCCTCGGCATCCTCGTCGACGAATGATTTGGAAATGGCAAGTGATTTCCAGCTCTTGTCACATGTATCTTCGGAATCCACCATCCCAGGGGCGAGTGTTCATGGGCCGAGCGTTGGGCCTCAAGCGCAAGATGCTGTATTGCAGATTCGGGAAGGCCAACAGGAGCAGGACAATACAACAATAAACATACCAGAACTCCAAGCCAGTGCTCAACCACTTGTTGCTGCACATTAGTGGAAAATGGAAACATAGAAACTTACATTGTGTAAGCTTGCCTTTTGCAACTTGTGAAGGCGTCATTTTCATAAGCGAGTGTCAGGCGTTTGAAGACCAGAACCTACTGAAACTTGGATGGCACTTCATCTTGGGTGAGACAGACGGCCTCCATCCTCTCCTCCCCTCCCTAAGTGTATCCAAAAGAAAGAGTACTGTAAATGCTGCTCCATAAACAACCGCTGCACTTCAACAATTCCCCATTTAGAAAGTGCCATACACTCATAAAGATAACTAGTCTGTACGCTGGTCTGGCGAATTAGGGGATGTTCAACTCGAAATCCGATCAGCATTCCTTGTGATTGTAACGAATCGCAAGCTTCCAGAAAGACACGCTGGCAATCCGGAAATCCAGGCGCCCTGCCACGTTTGCTGTTCTCTCATCACATTTGTTCGCGAAAGTATATGCCAAGTTGGCATTCACGACGTCGTTCGGTTTGCCTCGCCAAAGTGTCGCAAGAAGCGACAATCCCAAGAAGAACCTCCCTCGCCTGATCGCAATCGCCAATTTTTGGCAAACCCACACCACCACATTCTTCAGCCCGAATTTCCACGCATTTCTCCATTCCACCAGCTTTTTCCATCTTCTTCCTGGTTTCTCTGTACTGGTACTTCCTTCTGGTCCTAGTCCTGACCAGACTAGGGTTCGTTCTCTGTGCGTGACTGAGTAATAACCGCGATAAGAATGGTTCCCTGGGGTCTCATTGTCAGTGTCGCGGCGTACGCTGCATTCCCGCAGCACCGCACGGTAATCGTCGCGGTTAGTGCGGTCGGGAGTCTGGTGCGAGGCGGCAAGAAGAAGGGGAAGGTCGTGAAGCATAAGTCGTTTGTCGCTGGCGACCCCGATCGTGGCGTGAAGCTTGAATGGAGCGACATCACGTGCCAGCTTCTCAATAAGAAGGGAGAAGGGGTACGACATTGCCAAATTGGTATTTGAGTCGTCTCAAAACTTTAAAAGTCATTTTGAGACGTCTCAGTAGATGAATCTTGAATGGAGCGACATCACGTGCCAGCTTCTCGATAAGAAGGGAGAAGAGGTACGACATTGTCAATTTGGTAGTTACATTTACCTCGAAATTAATGGGGTCAGAGTGAGGTGAGGCAGCTCAGTCACATTTGAACGTGGGGGTGGCAACCTCTCTGAGAATATTACTCATTTTTGGTTTCTACTCAATTTCAGAGTGTACTAAACAGTTTTGACCCTAAGAATAGAAACATCATGCCTTGGCAGGTAAAGAACCTGCTGGATGATCTGATTGGCAATCATGGGCTCGCTGGGGACCGTCAAGACGACGCTGCTGTCCGATGTTCCCTAAAAAAAATTCTGCTCATCCTTCCTACCCGCAGGTGAAGAAGCTGTTGGATGGGCTAAATGGCAGCGCGAGGCCCGGTCGCCTGCTGGCAATCATGGGACCATCGGGGTCCGGCAAGACTACGCTGCTCAACACCCTGGCCGGCCAGCTGCCTAAGAGCAGCAAGATTGCGCTCTACGGATCCATCCGCGCTAATGGCATCCCCATTGCCGATTCGTGGCACAAGTAAGCCATTCTAGCGTGTTTTTTTAGTGTACTAACGAATATCTGCCCATGAGCAGCAACATCGCGCTCGACAGATCCATCCGCGCTAATGGCATCCCCATTGCGTTGCCAATTCATGGCACAAGTAAGCTCTTTCAGTGTGACGCATGTCCTGCCATTCGCATTTGCGTTCGAAAGAGACCCCCCTCGCCTTGGTCTGCTTTATCAACCTTTTCTCGGAAGCGTGCAGAGCCTTGCTATAATATCCGTCAGAACGCTCCACGAACGCTGGCGCCTTAGTGAATTCTCAAAAGCGACTCAGAATTAGCCTGTAAATGTAGCATTCCCAGTACCCTTCCGAACATATACGCATACGAATGTCGGACTGCCAGTACCCCTATGAGAATTGTTTTTTGAGACGTCTCAAAAGTCGTATACGAATGTCGGACTGCCAGTACCCCTATGAGAATTGACGCCTTTTTCTTATTCCTATTTTTTTCTGATGTCTTCTGCACGTCCTTTTCCGAGCGCAGGCAGGTGTACGTCCGTCAAGAGGACATTTTCTTCTCGCAGCTGACGGTGCGGGAGACGCTGGTGACGGCGGCGAAGCTGCAGCTGCCGTCGTCCATGTCGGACGCGGAGAAGGAGCAGCACGTGGAGGAGCTGCTGCAGCACCTGGGCCTGGTGAGCTGAGTTCCATTCTGTCTGTCGAATTGGAATATGGTTGTGCGATGTGTCAAAACTCATAAATTTGTCGCAGCGGAGAAGGAGCAGCTCGTGGAGGAGCTGCTGCAGAACCTGGGGCTGGTGAGCTGAGTCGCACATCGCATGGTGTACGGGTAGTGGAATTGTGCCTATTGCAAGTAAAATTGAGACGCTTCAGGAGGAACCACTCCCTCTTTCCAATCCCTCCCTCCCTCTATTCTGCAGGTGAACGCGGCGGGCACGATAGTGGGCGACAACAAGACGCGCGGCATCAGCGGCGGCGAGAAGAAGCGGCTGTCCATTGCGTGCGAGCTGCTGGGTAATCCATCCGTGGTGTTTGCAGACGAGCCCACGACAGGGCTGGACGCGTACCAGGCGGAGAAGGTCATGCAGACGCTGAAAGACCTCGCCAAGGAGGGCCGCACTGTTATCTGCAGGTGAGTGCGCAGGAGGGCGTGAGTTGAGAGGGGATAGCAGGGAGAAAGAGAGAGTGCCAGCGGGTGTGCAGTGCAGGTATCCGTGCGTACATCTGGGAGGGACTCGGAGGAGGATGTGGGTGCGCTGGGTTGGGCTGCATGCTGCCCTTATACCTTTCTGCATGTGCATACGCGAATATTTCCCCTTTCTGGGCCCGTCTCTCCTTTCTCTCGTTCTCTCCCTCCATCGACTGCCCTTCTTCCTTGAAGCATTTAGCTCTCCTTTTTCACGCTCTCTTATCCCCCCACTTCTTTCTTCCATCTGGTCTGTGATCTCATCCTCCCACCTTCCCCTTCCCCCCCTCCCCCACCCCCCTTCTTCCGTCCACCAGTATCCATCAGCCACGTGGCAGCGTGTTTGACATGTTTGATGACATCATGGTGGTTGCGGGCGGCAAGCTCATCTACTCTGGGCCGGCAGGGGACACTTGTCTTGAGTATTTCAAGAATCAGGGGTGAGTGAAGGGTGCATGGGAGACAGGAAAGGGAAAGGAGGATAGGTGAAGGCTCAGTGGGAATGGACTATTTTGGGATGGGAGGGAGGGAGGGGACGCAGGCCTATAGTACTTCACAAATCAGGGGTGAGTGGACGAGAAGGGAGGGGGGGGGAGGGGGTCATGGGTGAGTGACTTTGAATAGACGACAAAAACGTTTTGAGTGTTCTTTCTGGTCCCACCCTCAGAGATCCACTCCTTCTGCCTGTCACATCCAATCCCCCAGTTCCACCTCCAACCCCCAAATTTCCCTCCCTTACCCTCTCCCACCCACCCACACCACTCCCCCCTCCCTCCATCCCCTTCACCTCCAGCCACGAGTGCCCGCTGCACTCCAACCCAGCAGAGTTCCTCTCAGACCTGGTCGGCACTGACTACTCCTCTCCAGACACTGAGGCCCATTATGAGATGCCTCTATTCTCCCCTCCTTTCCCCCTCCCCCCTCCCCCCTCCCCACTCCCTCCCCTTTACCTCCAGCCACGAGTGCCCGCTGCACTCCAATCCAGCAGAGTTCCTCTCAGACCTGGTCGCCACCGACCATTCTTCCCCCAACACCGAGGCCTGTTGTGGGATGCCTCGAACCCACCCTGCTTCCCAGCCATTTTCCCCTTCACCCCTTCCCCCTCCATCCCACCAGGCACGAGTGCCCGCTGCACTCCAACCCAGCAGAGTTCCTCTCAGACCTGGTCGGCACTGACCATTCCTCTCCAGACACCGAGGCCCAGTCCGCCGCCCGCATCAACCGCCTCATCCAAGCCTTCGCCGCCCACTCCGCCGCCCAGGCCGACAGCAGCGCCGCCCTGGCCGTCTCCTCTGCCCTCCAAGCAAGCCTGGGGGACAGTGATGAGGAGGAGGGGGAGGGGGAGGGGGAAGGGGGGAAGGGGCAGAAGAGAAAGAAGACCCTCGGGCTGTCCGCAGCCAAGGCAGATGCCGACGGGGCAGGGTTCTGGCAGCAGTTCAAAATCCTCCTAGTCCGAGCCTGGCGCCAAACCACTCGCGACCGCGCCACCAACGTGGTCCGAGCAATGATGAACCTCACCTCTGCAGCCATCTTCGGGTCCATCTTCTGGCGCATGGGCTTCGGGCAAACCACCATCCAGGACCGCATGGGACTCCTCCAAGTCGCGGCGATCAACACGGCCATGGCTTCCATTACCAAGACGCTGAATGTGTTTCCCAAGGAGCGGCAGATTGTGGAGAGGGAGCGAGCCAAGGGCGCGTATGCGGTGGGGCCGTATTTTCTGTCCAAGCTCGTGGCTGAGCTGCCTGTGACGGCGTTTTTCCCTGCACTGTTCTCGGTGGTGTGCTACCCCATGACCGGTCTGCACCGCACTATACCCAGGTGAGAGACACAATGCTGGTCCGTTTAGTGGAGAGGGAGAAGGCGAAGGGCGCGTATGCGGTGGGGCCGTATTTTCTGTCCAAGCTGGTCGCTGAGCTGCCCGTGACGGCGTTTTTCCCTGCACTGTTCTCGGTGGTGTGCATCCCCATGACCGGTCTGCACCGCACTATACCCAGGTGAGAGGCACGATGCCAGCCGTTAATTGCACCCGCCGTCCCTACACCCAGCCTGCATGTGTGTATTCCCATCCAACCCTCTTCCCCTACCTACCACCTCGCCTCTTTACCCCCATGCGTATTTCTCCCCACCGTAAAATGGTATGCCATTGCACCGTCAGCTGCATTGGCCCGAGCACCTCTCAGCCCGGCCAGTTCCCCTTCTCTTCCCCTGCCACCTCGCCTCTTTACCCCCATGCGTATTTCTCCCCACCGTAAAATGATATGCTATTGCTCCGTCAACTCCATTGGCCCGAGCACCTCTTAGCTGAGCCAGTTCCCCTTCTCTTCCCCTCCACTTCCACCCCACCTCGCCGCCCTTATCCCCGTCTCCTCATCCTCCCATCAGGTTTCTCAAGTTCATGGGAGCCACAATGGTGGAGTCGCTCACGACATCGGCGATGGGGCAAACAGTTGGGTGCATGATGCATCGCCCCCACCACCAATAACCGCTCATCCTTCCCCCAATCCCATCCTCCCCTGGTGCAGGTTTCTCAAGTTCATGGGAGCCACAACGGTCGAGTCCTTCACATCTTCAGCCATGGGGCTCACAGCAAGGTGCATGATGCATCGCCCCCACCACCAGTAACCGCTCATCCTTCCCCAACCCCTCTTGCCTTCCTTCCCCCTGTTGCAGGTTTCTCAAGTTCATGGGAGCCACAACAGTTGAGTCCTTCACATCATCAGCCATGGGGCTCACAGTGGGGTGGGTGCATGATGGATCTCCCGCACCACTGTGGCCCCTTAACATCACCCCCTCCCTCCCTCGCTCTCCCCCCTCCCATCAGGTTTCTCAAGTTCATGGGAACCACCACGGTGGAGTCGCTCACGACATCGGCGATGGGGCAAACAGTTGGGTGCATGATGCATCGCCCCCACCACCAATAACCGCTCATCCTTCTCTCAATCCCATCCTCCCCTGTTACAGGTTTCTCAAGTTCATGGGAGCCACAACAGTTGAGTCCTTCACATCATCAGCCATGGGCCTCATAGTGGGGTGGGTGCATGATGGATCTCCCGCACCACTGTGGCCCCTTAACATCACCCCCTCCCTCCCTCGCTCTCCCCCCTCCCATCAGGTTTCTCAAGTTCATGGGAACCACCACGGTGGAGTCGCTCACGACATTGGCGATGGGGCAAACAGTTGGGTGCATGATGCATCGCCTCCACCACCAATAACCGCTCATCCTTCTCTCAATCCCATCCTCCCCTGTTACAGGTTTCTCAAGTTCATGGGAGCCACAACAGTTGAGTCCTTCACATCATCAGCCATGGGCCTCACAGTGGGGTGCATCGCCCCCACGGTCGAAGCAGCCATGGCGCTCGGCCCCTCCATAATGACGGTCTTCATCGTCTTTGGAGGGTACTACGTCAACCCCGACAACACGCCTGTCATCTTCCGCTGGATCCCCAACACCTCCCTCATCCGCTGGTGAGTACTCTTGCCCTCACTCATGGCCATCAAACCTCTCCCCCGTCCATACCTCCATAATGACGGTCTTTATTGACTTTGGAGGGTACTATGTCAACCCTGACAACACGCCTGTGATCTTCCGCTGGATCCCCAACACCTCCCTCATCCGCTGGTGAGTAGCTCTGCCCTTCAAAGCCCTGGTCCCGTCACCCCTCCAACATGTCCTTTAAATCCCTGTGTTTGAAATCCTCTTTGTTTAAGGCGCGTTAAAATAATCCCCTACACCTTCCAACGCCCGTCCCTTCCCATCCCACCAGGGGTTTCGAGGCACTGTGTGTGAATGAGTTTGACGGGCTGACATTCGAGGCCTCCAAACCCACGGACCTGAGCACGGGAAAGCAGGTGTTGGAGCGCCTTTCTTTCTCCGATAGCTCCGTGGCCAAATCAGTGCGCAAGGAGGTCCAGATCATGCTCGGCTGGTACTGGGCTTCGGCCTACCTGCTCCAGAAGAAAAACCCTGAGTTTACTAAGCTGCTGCCGGTGTCTAAGCTGCAGGGGAAGGTGGGAGGGACTGAGTCTGGTAAGGAGGGGGCTTGTGTGAAGAGCAGTGTGGTTATAGAGGAGGTGATTGAAGCGAAGGAGGAGAGTGTGGCGGCGACGGAACAGGTGACAACAGAGACGACTACCACTACCACCACCACCACGAGCAGCACCACGATCACGACTGCTACCACCACTGCTGCCACCACTGCTGCCACTGTCGTTACTGAGTCGGCCAGTGTGGTGGTTGAAACCACCGAAGAGGAATTTGTCGAGGCTGAATCATAGATTAACCTGGGGGAGAGTGTGGTGATGGAAGAGGTGACACTGGCAGCAACAACGACGTCCACCAGCAGCAGCAGCAGCAGCACGATTACCACTGCCACCACCACAGCTACCACCACTGATGCCACTGTGGTAACGCTGAGTCAGCCAGTGTGGATGTTGAAACCACTGAACCGAAGAGGAAATTGTCAAGGCTAAAACTTAGAATATCCTGGTGAAACTTGTGATGTTCATCCTGTCAAAGTACTACCGTAATCGCCCGGATATAAGACAGTGTTGAATAGTAGACAGGGGTTGTCTACTATACGGGTGTCTCTTATAAACAGGCTAGCCTCATTATAAGACACCTATTTGTGTGTACGAGATAAGACATATGTGTCTTATAATTGAAACTTCAATGTACTATAGCGAAATTTGAAATACCGCGTACATTTTTACCCTTGCGAAGCGCGAATTCTGCCACGTGCTGACTCCGGTACTATCAAGATTGCTTCTGCAAGTTTTCTCCATGACGTGGCGTCGCGGGCAGTGGTTGCCGAAGTGGCCGAAGTGGTTGGAACATCCACACTCATTATGAGAAACTCTTTTCAAGATGTGTGAAAATGTTTCTATGTAGTTTAAATAGTTTCCATTTATAAGACTTATAAGACACCCTAAGCCATCATGTTTACAAGATAACTCAAGCATTTTTGCCCGTGTACGAGATAAGACATATATGTCTTATATCCGGGCGATGACGGTAGTTGTTTTAGACCTTCTCTTAAGCCTATCAGCATTCTCTTGGATTCAACAATGCTTGTAAGCCATCAGGTGTACGTGGTATCATACAACTTTATATCCTAGCTGTGGTGTGTGAATCTCAGAAATGGGGGAGGGGGGGGGGGGTGGGGAATGAACCCAGGTGTCCTGCCGGTACCGTATCTCTCGTATGGATTGATAGATATTCAGGATATACCAATTTTGATGATGTTCATACAGTACTCTACTTTTTATGGGAGACATATGGTACTTGGGATTGAGTTTCTAGCATCATTTGAAATGTTCCAACAAAACTAACTGGGACGAGCTTACGGCATAAACGGTGCGAGCTTGACATTGAATCGCTTTTTGAATTGCTTGTCTGAGCCTGTAAGGAACTGAACCAAGCACACTGCCTTCCTTCCCTGCTGCCAAATCACACCTCTCTGCCCCACAGCCCCTTTTCTCCCTAACGCAGCATAGCTGTCTTGGGTTGAATTCATTGCACTTCCGTACTCATGCTTCCCCAACCCACATTCATCTTTCTCACCCTCATCCTCCCCATCCTCCAGTTCCTTCTCTTCTGCACTTCCAACTCTTTCGAAGTGCCATTCCCTCTCTCCACGCTTTACTGGAAGAGCTACCTCATGTGGCACCAACACATAGCCTTGGCTCACCAGTGCCACATGTCGCGGTCTGATTCGCCGATCCAAGCTGTACCCAAGGAAGAAAGGGAACACAAGCACCTCCTTTATAGAGAGCCCCATGTCCCGCTTTAAGTAGTCCACCTTGAGCCTCATGTTTTTCCCCCAACTGTAGCTGATGAATGTCGGAAATTTAACCACCAGATTCACCACCACCTCATGAGCTGTGGTGCCAGCAACGCTCTTAGAACCTGGTCCTGGTCCTGGTCCTTGGTCTTCTGCTTCTTCTCCAGCGCAGGCCTTGGACCCTGCTTGACAGCCAGCATCGCTCCCCCCTTGCTCCGCACGTTCTCTTGCATCCACTTGAGATGTTTCAAAAGTCGGGCTTTCTCGTGCGTACCCATCACCTTCACCACCCTCCCATGCCACTTCCACTTCTCGCACACGCTTCCTTGCACCTTCCTCGAGCATTTGCCTCCCAATCTCCTCTCCTCCACTCTCCTCCAGTGCCTCTTCCACTTCTCGCACGAGTTCTCTAAAACCCTTCTTAATATTCTCCCCATTAGATGCCAGCAGCAAAGGAGACCGAGCCACTGCAAGAACTGCGTTCCCTCGACCAATCAGATCACTCAACAATACCACCTTCTCTTGCATGTTCTCTACGGATAGAAGAAGAACCATCTGATGGCTTCTCACCACTCTCGCTGCTGCCTTCTTCCCCACCAGTTCCACTAAAAACTGGAGCTTAGCTAAAACATTTTGAGAGCTGAAGTGGACGAGAGAGGGGGCCTGGCGGAGAATCCGGGCGGCAATGGAGGGGCTGTCAGGGGGAGTGAAGGACTGGAGGAGACTGAGGATGTCACGGATGCGCTCTGAAGATTTGAGGAGGATAGCTGGATATTGCACCAGGAGTTTTCTCAGGTGAGTTTTGTCCTGGTCCTGCCAATTCAAGTGTTGCCTCAGGTGCCCGCTGCTGACGATTCCTCTTTCGTATCCTTTTAGAAAATATGCTGATACTTGCTCGAGACGACTTCGCATGGTTTCTTCCCTCAAGAAGAGGATATCTGGAGCTTTCTCTATAATCACACCCAGCTTGTCGACAGGAACCCCTGCTCTCTCCACCAGAATGTCCAGGTTCGTTGAACGAACCTGTGTGCGAATGAGATATGCAGACCTTCGAAGAACTGAACCTAGCTTGGTACGGTGCATGCCTCGAGCCAAGAAAAAGTCAAGCATTTCCCGAACCTGGGGAAGGGAGTTTCGGAGCCAGGAAGCTTTTCTCATGGTGATGGCTGAGATGTCAGCACGGGATACGCCATATGACTGGAGGAGGTGGACACGTGGCAGAAGGTCACTGGCCGGATCGGAACGCAGGAGGGCAGGGTGGGTGGCGAGGAGAGAGGCGACAGTGGAAGGGGACGATATGCCGAGGTGGGAGGAGAAGAAGCGGTAGAGGGAGAGGAGGGAGGAGGGAAATACAGCCCGCCGGCTGTAGAGTGGAGGTGGGGTTGTGAGAGGAGATGTGGTGGGTGGTCCGTCCCCCTCACTCGCTTCTGCTTCTGCTTCGCCTTCTGCTTCTTCCCCCTCCTTTCCTTCCCCATCCTCTACCTCCTCACCTTCTGAGCACTCTGTTTCTTCATCCCCATACCCCTCCTCTTCCTCTTCGTGTCGTCCCTTAGCCTCCTCCTCATCTGTAATCATTTCGTCTGTGAACCCCTCCTCCCCCTCCTCTCTCACAATCTGAGGCCCAAATTTCTTCTTCAACACTCCAGCAATCACAGCCACTGCTTTTTTCTCCTCCTCTGTTCCCTCGAATCCTCCCCTCCCTCCACGCTTCCAACCGCCTCCCTCCACTTCCCTTGCTCTCGTCTCACGTCTCGTTTGCTCTCCTCTGCCGTCCACCTCCTCCCTTCCCTCTCTACTCTCGCTCTCCTCTGATTCTCCTCCGTCGCTTTCTCCCTCCTCTCTTCCATCTGCACGCAACCGAGCCTCCGTCCCAACCGCCAGTACTGGCTTGCCATCGAAGCTCGGATCGTATCGCACGTTCGTGCTCTCCGCCTCCGGAATTTCTGCTGCTCTGGCGAACGAACCAGCCGGACAGCCTATAGTGAACCTCCGGTCAGGGGTTCGAATCCTGGTGGATGCGTTTAGCGCAGGTTGGTGTCGGTTAGGTCCAAACCGGTAGAGGCTCGGCGTGGAAGGATTAGTAGCTGTGGGTGCCATTCCCAGCTTCTCTGAAAATGACTTAATACGAGGCGAAGAAGACTGTGTCATGTATCTTAATGAGAATCCTAATCCGTTAATCCACGCGATGAATGGCCGTGATGTTCTGGCATGACACGCCATGTGGCATAGCTGACAGATGCAATGAAAGGGATGACGGATTGCACAAACGATTTACTCGCCTGAAGTGCTTGTCCTACTACGACGAACCAGCAGAAGTGAGTCCGGACGTTGCAGTGAGTTCAAGAAATCTAACAAGTTACAAGCGTTTCATCTCCATGGTTACAACAGTTGCTGGCATGGAGTCATGTCGCTCTCTAGTAGCAGATCCTGGAATACAGACCCAATATGACAACAGAAGGAATGACCTGGTTGAATCAGCGAAAAAATAGCTCCAAAAAATTGCAGAGGCGACCGCAGTGAGGTAAGTCCTCCACTTGTCCCGCGCGGGCCCTGGGGCTACCGAGCTAGGGTAACTCTGGCTGGCGAATTTCTTTTCCATGAAAGGATTACGACACTGCGATGTCGCATGCGGATGTCTTGAGCTTTCGCTAGCCCAATTCAAATTGACGAAAGCGTTGGGCGAGCCGTGTGAGTTTGCCCGTCAAGTCCACATGCCGTTTCGAATTCGTACCCGTTTATTGACGTCTGTTACGGGTAGATTATACACTTCATAGTGGTGTAAGAGATGCAAATTCTAAAATAGACGGTAGCGTGCCTGAGAGCGGTTCGGTGCGGTTGTTGCAACTGACAGCTCGATGGCGGGAGGAGCAAATGGCTACACGGTTTGGATTTGCTGACACTCTTCTATTTGCGACTCGACAAGCTCAGGAAAGATTATTTCTTTCAGCAAACAGCGGGCAGGAATATTTTTTTTGTAAACAGATTTATCCAGAATGAACCAAAGAAACTAGTTTATAATATTTATACAATTACAATCAGGGTTACAACAGTGAACTAGTATGCCTAAAGAAACTGATGGTGTTGCTGCTCTTCAGCTCAATCCGCCACTTCGGTCTTGACCCCTCTTGGCCGCTAGGAGCAAGCTCCTAGCGTTTCACCCGTACACCGCGTTGAGGTGGGGGTTATTCGTACGGGACACCTGTGGGACAGGGGCAAAAAATAAATTGTCCTGCCACCGGGCAGAGAACCACCTCAAATATCGGGATGTCAGATGTCAGGTTGAAGGCGCCTCGAGTCGGTAATGCTCCACGGAAGGTGAGATGGGAAACCCATCTGCATGCATACTACCCAACCACCCCCACCTCCTTCGAACCTGTACCACGAGTACCACGAGCGCGCATCGATTCTAATACCTGTACCACGTGTTCGCTCCTACTCGCCACCCCGTCGCTCCTAATCGCCACCCGCGTACCTTACCAACTCTCACCCTTCAGCCGTGCCGTGCCGTGCCGAGCAGTGCCGTGCCGTGCCATTCTTCTGCTCCTCCGCCATGACCTGGAAAGGAAGGAGAGGGAGAAAACGGTGAAAGCTCCAGCAGCCTCCCCTCCACGAAACCTGCGCACTAAGACACGAAAAAACGTTAGTAAAACTGATGAAAACAAGACGAAAACAAGAACAGAAAAAACAGGAAGAACAAAGACAAGAAAAGCACGACAAAGAGCAACAAACAAGACTTAGATAGAGAAACTCACCCTTGGTTTCGTTACTCCAGCCACGACCTCCCGTCCGTTGTGCTCCTCCTCCATTGACCTGAGGGGACGAGAGAGAGAGAGAGAGACACAGAAGGGAAAAAATGATAGCTCCAGCGGCCTTCCCTCCACAAAACCTGCGCACTAAAACACGAAAAAAACGTTAGAAAAACGGATGAAAACAAGAACAGGAAAAACAGGAAGAACAAAGACAAGAAATGCACAACAAAGCGCGACAAACACGACGCAGGTAGAGAAACTCACCCTTGGTTTCGTTCCTCCAGCCACGACATCCTGTCCGTTGTGCTCCTCCTCCATTGACCTGAGGAGACAAGACAGAGAGAGAGACACAAGGGAAAAAATGATAGCTCCAGCGGCCTCCCCTCCACGAAACCTGCGCACTAAAACACGAAAAAAACGTTAGTAAAACTGATGAAAACAAGATGACAACAAGAACTGAAAAAACAGGAAGAACAAAGACAAGAAAAGCATGACAAAGCGCGACAAACACGACGTAGGTAGAGAAACCCACCCTTGATTTTGTTCCTCCAGCCACGACCTCCCGTCCGTTGTGCTCCTCCATTGACCTGAGGAGACAAGACAGAGAGAGAGACAGAAGGGAAAAAATGATAGCTCCAGCAGCCTCCCCTCCACGAAACCTGCGCACTAAAACACAAAAAAAGTTAGGAAAACTGATGAAAACAAGAACAGAAGGAACAGGAAAAACAAAGAGAAGAAAAGCACGATAAAGCGCGACAAACACGACGTAGGTAGAGAAACTCACCCTTGATTTTGTTCCTCCAGCCACGACCTCCCGTCCGTTGTGCTCCTCCATTGACCTGAGGAGACAAGACAGAGAGAGAGACAGAAGGGAAAAAATGATAGCTCCAGCAGCCTCCCCTCCACGAAACCTGCGCACTACAACACAAAAAAACGTTAGTAAAACTGATGAAAACAAGATAAAAACAAGTACAAAAGGAACAGGAAAAACAAAGAGAAGAAAAGCACGATAAAGCGCGACAAACACGACATAGGTAGAGAAACTCACCCTTGCCGCGATGACGTGCAGGATCGCGACGCGATGACGTTGTCGCGGCGCCGTCTTGATCTTGTGAAGCCTCCAAATCTTCTGAAATACTCGCGGCGCGGGAGCTTGAGTTAAAGACGAGATTATGATCTGTAGATCGTAGAAACAATTATCATAAGGCCCGACGATAGAAAAACAAACAGTAAAGCACGAAAGCCTTATCCTGGAAGCTCGCGGCGCCTTGAATTCTTCAAGAAAAAAATATCTTCAAAATAATAGCAGTCTTGGACTGCCTTCAAGTTACGCAGCGTTCCGATCTACTCAAGTTAAGGCTAGTAGACACGTTCTGAGAAGGGAGGCGAGGAGAGGAGCACCATCGAGGCACACGAATCAGCCAGAAGCATGTAGCAAAGCGTGCGCTGCTAGCCTATGCTGCGACTCTGCGCTGCGACGCTGCGCTATGCTGCGATGCTGCGCGCCTAATGCTGCGAACCTACGCGCGACGCTGCGACGCTGCGAGCGCACACACGCTCTGCTGCATGCCTTTGGCTGACTCGGGCTTTCCGGTGCTCCTCATAGAAAAAGACTTTGTCGAAAGTTCATCAACCAACTGATTGAAGCTGGAAAGAACATATAGTGGCTTCTCAAGCTAACTGACGGGAGAAGGTCTGATCTTGGTGTGGTGCTGTGTGCTCGAACCAGTTTGTTGAATGGAATCTTCGAGAAGGGTGGGGCTCAGGAATCAAGGGTGGCAAATGCCGCCGCTAAATCTGAACAGCTTCGATGCAACCTCGTGCCGACGGCCACGCGAGACCGCCAAAAAACAGCGCAGCAAGTTTTGGCGGCCCAAGTCAGATCGACTGGGGTGGTGATGGTTCCGGACTCATGGAAGAAATTGTGTATATGTCTCTCGATTTGTGTGGTGCTGCGTGTGCGGCTCAGTTGGCAAGGTGCGGTTTGTGAATCAAGATGAGAATGGCGCCGCCAAAAGTGAATCCGCCGATGGGAGACAAGGTGGGGCTTGTGACTCTGATTAGATTATCGTAAATACGGCGATGGCCGACGGCCGGGTCGCCAAATTGCATTTGCGATGTCGGCAAGTTTGGTTCAACTTCGGAAGGAGTCAGAACAATTGGCGGGGTGAAACTGTTGGCACCCATACCCCATTGTAGCTGTTCTCGTATACACAAGTTTGTGTTTTCCTGAACACTTTGTGCTTACTTGGCTTCGTTAGTGTTTATGTGGCTCCGCTCGTATATGGTTGAAGCTACGGGCAGGGAAGGTCGTCTCTGCTACAGAGAGGTTCCAAATCCCGGGCAGGTTACGTAATAGGCAAGCGAGTATTTTGCGCGAGTTACAGGACGGCAACAACACGAAGCTGGAAATATTTAAAATTCACCACTGCTAACTGGCCTGGGGTCGCTAGTTGGGCAGCTGAAACTGAACAGGTAGGAAGAAATATTATGAACGGACCAATCGGAATGTGAAACCGTGAGAGAAGCAAAATTGAACGAGAATCACTGCAAAGTGGAAACCGAAAGGTGTTTGGGTTGGTGCACCACCACCCACCCTTCTGTTTCGTATACACAATACCCCCTGTCTCAGATCTGATTATTTGGTTACCTCGCTCAGATCTTAGAACCTGTACTAGTTATCGCGCTTCACATTCCAGTAGTATTCGAACTTTCCTTTCTCGTAACAGCGCTCTATCGGATGCTTACGATTTACTTACGTATTTTCGTCTGATTAGGTTTACTATTTTTATGCAAGGCACTCATTTAGCGCATGTCACGCTACTTCAATTTCCACGTTAATCTCCTTCTGCATGGGACCAGCTTTTTTTAACAAACCTTAGAAACGCCATGTTTCTGTGATGCGTGCTGACGCTATCTCTTATCACGCCCCAGATGCTGTCTCAACTCGAAATTCGAATGATATAATCGATTTTTTTTTAGCACGAATGTACAAATGCATGCCTTCAAACTCTCTCTCCTTGCCCCCTTCTCGCCCCCTCCCACCCCGCTCCCTGCTTTCGCAGGGCAGCAATTTTTGAAGGCATGCCTTCTCCGTTTTGCCGCCCCACATATCCCCCCACACCCCCGTCACTCCCCCCTCACCACATTCCTTGCTCATCCCTCCTCATCCCCATTTCGCTCACGCCTCGCCCGTCGCGCTCATCCTTTTCCTCCCCTCCTCTGATCCCTTTTCTCCCCTGCAATGATCCCTTTCCCCCGCTGCGCTTCTCCCCTTGCGCTGATTCGTTATTCCCTCGGCCCTCATCTTCCCCCCTCCCCCAACATTCATCCCGCATTCCCTTCCTGCGCTGCTCATCCCCATGCACCCTCATTCCCCTGCTGCCATCATCCTCCCCTTGCACTCCCTTCATCCCCACTGCGCTCATGCCTCCACTCTCTCCTGCAATCATCCCTTTCCCCATCCCTCATTCCTTCCCCCTGCGCTCACCCTTCATTACCCCTGCAGCACGCACGACTTGTTCCCCTTGCCTTACCCTCAGCCCTCCTCCCTTTCTCCCTCGTTCCCGCCGCATGCACCGTATATTTTACAACGCCCAACCCTCTTCACCCCTGCAGCTCTCACCCTCATTCCCCCTGCACACTCACCCCTCAGCCCCCCTACGCGTATCCCTCGTTTCCCCCGTCCGTTCTTCCCCCTACGCCCACCCCCCGTTCCCCCTGTGCTCACGTTTTTCCCGTGCGCTCATCCCTCATCCCCCCTTTCCCTCAACCCTCACCCCTGCCCTCATCCCTCATTTCCCATGTGCCATCCCTCATTTCCCCCACGCAGCATTCACCCCTCACCCCCCCTGCAGCACTTCACCCCCATTCCTTCTTACAATCTTCCCACCTGCACTTATCCCTTGTTTCCTGAACAGAGCAGTGCAACTGCTTTGTGCTCACAAAGAGTACCAAGAGCAAAAAGAAGGCATCAGACTGTTTGCTGTGTTCAAGGAGATGTTTTAGATGACCAATGTGTTGATGTCTGTTTCTGTATGCATCTAGTGTTTTCCATTATTATCTTTATTCTTCCAACGATGTTCTGTCACAGCTAGTGTGCTCAAATGAAAACGTACCTACTGAGTGCTGCTCCTAACCAGATGGACGTGAAGGATGCATTGCAAACATGAGGTTGATTTGAGCAAGGTTATAGAAAAAATCATTTTATTACCTCGTTGAATGTTACAGATCCACGTGTGCATTCCGATTGCAGATGACGGCTCACTCCACGCAAGAGCCATCGGAAGGTCATCAGGCATGCTTTGACCTGGACGTGACGCGACAACCTCGAGAACAATAGTTAGCGACAGGTCTCATCCTGCCACGTGGGCGTCTGACTGGCCCTTCAGGATCAGTCTCCTTTCCTGTCAGAAACATTGGAGGCTCACTGCGATTGGCAAATCCTGCCCGTCGCATCCGCTTTCTCACAATTCCCAAGCGAATCTTGTCCGTCAATTTCCACATTTCAACTGGCGCGAAGGCATCTTCCCCAACCTCTGCTCAACCTCCATGCCAACATCTGATGCTTGAACTCCTAGCCTTGGGATTTCCATCAGCAGCAGGAAGCCCAAGGTATCTCTCCCTGATCGGGCAAACAGTTCCAGTTTTCCGGTCACAGAATCTGGTATCAGTTGCCTGATCACTCCAAGCTGAACTGACTAGACCTAGCCAGTTTTTTTGCTTTTCCTGATTAGCTTCTGAGGCTATGGAGGCTGTCGCAATCGCTCCTCGCGTGCCAGTTGCGATTTCTCAGCGAAACTCTGTCGCAGGAGCTTCGAGCCAGCGTGCTCGCTCCCTCGCAGCTCCCCAGCAGCAGCGCTGGCGATGCCTGTCTTCCTCGTCGTCGAGCGTCGCAGGAGTGTCGCTCCAGAAATCTGTCGCACAGGCACGCAGTGCTAAGACCGGAAAGGCCTCGGCGTCTCGCCTGGTAGTACAGGCTAAGGACGAGTCGTTCGACTATGATCTTATCATTATCGGCGCTGGCGTCGGTGGTCATGGCGCTGCTCTGCACGCCGTCGAGCAGGTACCTATCTTTAGACGAATGGTTGACGATCCCAACGAAAAAAACAGTTACCACGTTTCACTCTTAACAATGACTTGTATCATTAGAAGGCACAATACTCTTATATTTTCCACATCATGTTTCGTGGCCCTTTACCACGCTGATCAGTTCTCCTGTTCTTTCGAATTTCGACATAATCTGTTCATCAGGGCCTGAAAACAGCCATCATTGAGGGTGACGTTGTGGGAGGCACTTGCGTGAACCGCGGGTGCGTGCCGTCCAAGGCGCTTCTCGCCGTTAGCGGTCGCATGCGCGAGCTCAAGGACGAGCATCACCTTAAGTCGCTCGGTATCCAGGTAATAACTGCTGGCTAATGTGCGAAACGTTGACTTGGCAAACTGCATATTTGTGAGATACTTACGTGAATGTCGCACGTTTGTCCTGTTAACCATCGTGTGCGCGAGTTCAATTCGAACATTACCTTTAGTAAACCCGCACGCACGATATACAGTTCGCCTGAATTGGACTAAAGGTATCCTGGTCATGAGTCAGAAGAACAGCGCGCAAACTCTATAAGTAGCGGTTAGTTGACTCTTCTTCTCCTTTCTCCGTTCACCCCTCAGGTCGCAGCCGCGCAGTACGACCGACAAGCAGTGGCGGATCACGCGAACAACCTGGCTGCGCGCATCAGAGGCAACCTGACCAACTCGATGAAGGCCATCGGTGTTGACATTCTCGATGGCTTCGGCACCCTCGTCGTAAGTGCAGTGTGCTACCGCTCGCTCTCCTCCCTGTACTCAGTCGACATCGAGCTGATTTTCGTGACCCCCTTACTGACTTTCCCGCTTCACCCGTTCGGCCGACTTTTCCTTTGTCTCGCGGCCTGGCTTCTCACGTCCGTATATCCTGACCCCCGTTCATTTCGTTGCGCGCCGAACAGACCCCCCAGAAGGTGAAGTACGGCAAGCCGGGAGCGGCGGAGAAGACGGTGACGGCGAGGGACGTGATCATCGCCACTGGTTCCACGCCCTTCGTGCCCCCCGGCATCGAGGTCGACGGTAAGTTCCGCGTTACGGAGGATTGCGCCTGATGGGTGAGTTTTGCATATGGGAGTTTGCGCCTCTCGGTGGTTCCGCGCATGTCGGATTGCTCCTCACGATGAATTTCGCGCCATGGCGGATTGGGCGCGCTGTAGGCTGTTAGTCGTGGTGGTCACTGTGCTGTGGGCTCTGTGCGTGCATATAGTGGGCTTTGGCGTACGCTCCGTCGCGTGAGGTCAAGGCTTGTTCATGCTCTTTACTCACTCGATCCGCGCGTCTTGGCAAGTCGGTGTTCAGCAGCGAGAAGGCCGTGAAACTGAACGGAGGCCTGTCTGGGCCTCCTTTGGAGTATTAACCTTACCTTTTGCTGTGCTCCATTCCCAATCGTCCGATTTCCTGACTGCACCAGGCAAGACGGTGTTCACGAGCGACGAGGCCCTGAAGCTGGAGTGGATCCCCGACTGGATCGCCATTGTGGGCAGCGGCTACATTGGCCTCGAGTTCAGCGACGTGTACACTG